ATGGGTTTGCCTTTCCCTTGTGAACACATAGAAGGATCTCAGAAAACAGGCTGGAGGATCTTTTCCCCATAAAACACAGCTTTAGAAACACAAGAGAACAAAAATTTGTACAACAGATTGGCCAGAATACAAAAGTTGGTCCATAGCATCAAGATAATTTTTCACCAACTGTGGATCTCACTTCTAGAGACTTTTTTTATTTTGTGTATAGATGCTAGATGTCACCTTTCTCCACTCACAGCAGCCATTGCCAGGGTTATTCGTGGTCGTGTAAAGAGAGGCCACTCCCATGGGGAACCCCTTTCCAGGACAACTTAAAGACTTAGGATATAAATAGAGTGTCAGGGAGTCTTCAGTACAGTTAAGTCTTCCTTCGTGTAGAAGAACCAACTTCCTTTTCTGCAAGATTGCCCAAAGCTGATAGAACAAAGCACTGCTCGGGGTGAGTTTCTAGGTTTCATTTATTTGGGTGGAAATATTTATTTTACATTCGAATTAATAGATTTTACACCTCTGGGATTTCACAGAAAGTTTACAAAACACCCTGGCTTCACAAACAAGCACTGATAGGTTGCATGAACGATACCAATTACGTGGGTACAATAACGAAGCAATCTTCCTGCATATTGCTATTGCAAACTTTTTGCATTTTGCTACTGCCTGCACAGGTCTTCAGGGGGTGGATTCTTCGATGCTTACTGAGCTGACGTGAGTGCCTAAACGTTTCTCCACATTCTTGACATTCAAATGCCCTCTCTCCTGTGTGAATTCTACTATGTTTAGTGAGGTTACCTGAGAGTGAAAATGTTTTCCCACATTCTTTACATTCATAAGGTTTTTCTCCTGTATGAATTCTTCTATGTGGAATGAGGCTATATGAACAGGAAAACCTTTTCCCACATTCCTTACATTCATAAGGTTTCTCTCCTGTGTGAATTCGTCTATGATTAATGAGTTTACTTGATCGAGAAAATGTTTTCCCGCATTCTTTACATTCATAAGGTTTTTCCCCTGTATGACTTCTTCTATGAGAACTGAGTTTACTTAATTGAGAAAATCTTTTCCCACATTCCTTACATTCATAAGGTTTCTCTCCTGTGTGAATTCTACGATGTTCCGTGAGGTAACGTGAGAGTGAAAATGTTTTCCCACATTCCTTACATTCGTAAGGTTTCTGTCCTGTATGAATTCGTTTATGTCGAACAAGGTTATTTGAGTGAGAAAATGTTTTCCCACATTCTTGACATTCATAAGGTTTCTCTCCTGTGTGAATTCTACTATGTTTAGTGAGGCCATCTGATCGTGAAAATGTTTTCCCACATTCCTGACATTCATAAGGTTTCTCTCCTGTATGAATTCTTCTATGTGGAATGAGGCTATATGAGCAGGAAAACTTTTTCCCACATTCCTTACATTCATAAAGTTTCTCTCCTGTGTGAATTTTTCTATGATCAATGAGTTTACTTGATTGAGAAAATGTTTTCCCGCATTCCTTACATTCATAAGGTTTTTCCCCTGTATGAATTCTTCTATGAGAACTGAGTTTACTTAAGTGAGAAAATCTTTTCCCACATTCCTTACATTCATAACATTTCTCTCCTGTGTGAATTCTACGATGTTCTGTGAGGTAACGTGAGAGTGAAAATGTTTTCCCGCATTCCTTACATTCGTAAGGTTTCTCTCCTGTATGAATTCTTTTATGTCGAATAAGGCTATTTGAGTGAGAAAATGTTTTCACAAATTCTTGACATTCATAGTATTTCTCTCCTGTGTGAATTCTACGATGTTCCGTGAGGTAATGTGAGAGTGAAAATGTTTTCCCGCATTCCTGACATTTGTAAGGTTTCTCTCCTGTGTGAATTCTTCTATGAGAAGTGAGTGTACATGAGCGAGAAAATGTTTTCCCACATTCCTTACATTCATAAGGTTTCTCTCCTGTGTGAATTCTTCTATGAGAAATGAGGTTATTTGATTGAGAAAATATTTTCCCACATTCCTTACAATCAAATGGTTTCTCTCCTGTGTGAACTCTTCTATGTTGCATGAGGGTATCTGAGTAGCAAAACTTTTTCCCATGGTCCTTACATTCATACGGTTTCTCTCCTGTATGAATTCTTCTATGAGAAATGAGATTACTTGAGTGAGAAAATGTTTTCCCACATTCCTGACATTCATAAGGTTTCTCTCCTGTATGAATTCTTCGATGTGTAATGAGTGTACTTGAGCGGGAAAATCTTTTCCCACATTCCGTACATTCAAAAGGTTTCTCTCCTGTATGAACTATTCTATGTGCAATGAGTGTACCTGACTGAGAAAATGTTTTCCCACATTCCTGACATTCAAAAGGTTTCTCTCCTGTATGAATTCTTCCATGTGTAATGAGTTTACTTGAGCAGGAAAATCTTTTCCCACAT